TTTCCTCGTATCTCATGCCTCTTAGTTCTAGGACTAGTCTAGTGGCATACCTTTCTCCAACTTTATCTTGTGCTTGATTAGATATGAACCCCACGTTGGAGCCGCATACTCCAGCATTGGTCTGACATATGTGACATGCAAACTTCTGACATAATGACCATCTCTGATATACTGAAGACCGTCCGAGGTATACTACGAGTGTGCTGTGTTGTAGCATACAAGTAAACTCATGAAAGTATCCCTCAGACCTGTTACTTGTCACTTGTGAGGGCCGCGGGCGAACAAGTTCACAATTCTCAGTTCCAAGTGCTGACAGATTCACCCAATTTATCTGGTATTTTTAAGGCTATGAAGCATGAAACTCGTCCTCTACAGTGGGGAGTCTATTGTAACTGTTCTCCACAGCGGGGAGTCTATTGTAACTGTTCTCCACAGTGGGGAGTCTATTGTAACTGTTCTCTACAGTGGGGAGTCTATTGTAACTGTTCTCCACAGTGGGGAGTCTATTGTAACTGTTCTCCACAGTGGGGAGTCTATTGTAACTGTTCTCCACAGTGGGGAGTCTATTGTAACTGTTCTCCACAGTGGGGAGTCTATTGTAACTGTTCTCCACAGTGGGGAGTCTATTGTAACTGTTCTCCACAGTGGGGAGTCTATTGTAACTGTTCTCCACAGTGGGGAGTCTATTGTAACTGTTCTCTACAGTGGTGAGTCTATTGTAACTGTTCTCCACAGTGGGGAGTCTATTGTAACTGTTCTCCACAGTGGGGAGTCTATTGTAACTGTTCTCCACAGTGGGGAGTCTATTGTAACTGTTCTCCACAGTGGGGAGTCTATTGTAACTGTTCTCTACAGTGGTGAGTCTATTGTAACTGTTCTCCACAGTGGGGAGTCTATTGTAACAGCCCTACCATTGGGCTGTTACAATAGTCTTTTGTATCAACAAAAGGAGTCACAGCTTCAAAATCAACAACCCGAAAAGTCTTCATATCTTAGCTCCACGTCGTCGACCGTAACTGAAGTGGTAAGAGTAAAGATACCTATTTAATCTCTGCATTTCCCTCCCCCACGATAACCTATTACAGTTATTCCTGTCCCCACTGCTCCCAGGTACTGGCTGATGGCATTCTCTCCCACGCTAAAGGCGGCGCTGCTGCTGCTGTCGACACTGACAGCGACGTGGGTAACTGATCTAACCGCGGCTAATCCGGTGAGGATTTCCAGTCACAGCAAATCTCCCGTTGATGGATTATATTTACGCGATGACCCCGACGCCCACACCGCCCGCGAGGAGGTCACACACACGCCCATGCGAGGGCCAGTCATCACTCCTCCTCCACATCTCAATTTCTCAACTCCTGCGCCAAAGAAGGGGTCAACTTTAAGTGTGGTGAGTTGGCCATCAAATGTCTCGTTCTCTCGCTTATCTTATGACAGAAAACTTGATCAAGAGCTCTGCTTCTCTGGGGGGACTGCACTATTCTCTAGGGGACTGCACTATTCTCTAGGGAACTGCAGTGCTCCAGTTAGTCTTCTTCGTTAGTTACCCAAATAACCTTTTATTTATTATGTTCAATTTATACAATTTAATCGTTTTTTATAAATTATTCCTTTAAAATTTCTGTAATTTTACCAATTACTAAGGAAATTCTTTTTGCCAGTTTTAAAGTGATCATCGAATTGTATTTATCTCATCACAATTTTTAAAGAGGTAAGTGGAATTAAGTAGAAAATAATAATTATAATAATTAAATTAATATAATTTTACCAACATTATTATTCCATTACTGAGGAACAAGAAATCTGTCAGGTTTACTGAGCTCCCTCTAGACCAACTATTGACCTCCAGGATACACCCCACAACAGTTGCCTATCTCCCATGTACCTATTTTTACTGAGAGCCCATAGACGATTTTTAAACTGACCACCGTGGCTGCAGTTTGCCTAATACTTTGAAAACAAAAATCTCAAAAAATTATTTTTCTCACAGTATTATAAAACATTATGCACCGACTTCCCCAAAGTTAACAACAAATTGGTACTCTCACTCAGCCCCGTTCTACCGCAGACCTATCCACCGGAACTCTCCCCGCTACTCTCACACTAACTCGCATGTCTCCTACATGCAAAGTGCGAGTCTGAAATCGTGGATGTCTTTCCTGATGTTTTCAGCTTTTAATATAATTACATGTGTTGAGAGGGAACGGGGGAGAGGGGGAAAGATGGAAAGTGAGAGAAGAATGGGGGGAAAAGAGGGAGAATAGGGGGGGGGAAGAGGAAGAAGAGGGGAAACAGGGGAGGGAGAAAGCGAGGGGGAGAAGAGAGTGGAGAAATATAGGTTAAAGAGGAGGAGAAGGGGAATGGAAAGAGAGATATACAACTGAGAGAGAAAGAGAAAGAGAGAGAGGGAGAGAGAAAGAGAAAAAGGGAGGGAGGGGCCTCGTAGCCTGGTGGATAGGGCGCAGGACTCGTAATTCTGTGGCGCGGGTTCGATTCCCGCACGAGGCAGAAACAAATGGGCAAAGTTTCTTTCACCCTGAATGCCCCTGTTACCTAGCAGTAAATAGGTACCTGGGAGTTAGTCAGCTGTCACGGGCTGCTTCCTGGGGGTGGAGGCCTGGTCGAGGACCGGGCCGCGGGGACACTAAAGCCCCGAAATCATCTCAAGATAACCTCAAGATATAAGAAGGGAGGGGGAGAGAGAGGGAGAAAGAGAGGGAGAGAGAAAGAGAGAGGAGAGAGAGAGGGAGAAAGAGAGAAAGAGAGGGAGAAAGGGAGAAAGTGAGAAAGAGAGGGAGAAAGAGAGAGAAAGGAAGAGAGAGAGAGAGAGAGAGAGATAGGGAGAGACAGAGAAAGAGAGAGACAGAGAAAGAGAGAGACAGACAGACGCTCGGTCACCGCAGGGTTCATTAGGCAGCAGCCTAATATATCATGTTTCTCAATATCAACAAGATTATCACCGCTTATGACGTATCAATAAATGCATATAACATAAGTTTTCACCGGGATTAACACTGTCATCAATAACACTAATATAATTGCCTGAATAATTAAATGCAAATGTAAATAAACATAATATTTATGTAATTAAATCACTAAATTAGACAAAAATAACTATCTGGCAACTTGCACCTGGAAATGTTTACGGGATGAGTCAACTTCGTGAGTCGGCGCCTCGGGGGACTGTTATTTGTACACGGGCCGGGGTGGGGGTCGCACGTCCTCCCTCCCTCTCCGTCACCATCACAAATTTATCTTTATTTGATTATTTAGGTCTGAGTTTTATGAAATGCATGATGCACACTTCACTAAGTCCTCTGAATTCACTGACTATTTAGTCCATTGACGTCACCCTGCCTGTATTGACGTCAGTTAGTTCCTTGTCCTCACTTTGGAGAGAGCTATCGAGGGAAAATAAATGTGGACATATACCTCTCTCCCTGCTGCGTTACCGGCCAGTCATTCCGGATAACCACACCCTCTGTCGGTCACTCTTCTAAGAGGATTTCCTATGTAACCGGACAGTTTATGGTTTATAGCATCCGGACATCAATCTTTTTTTTTTCCTTCTCCAGTTATTTATGGGCAAGTTAGTGGAGTCATTTATTATGCATTCAATATCCATCCGGTGGGCGGTGGAGGGCCCCATACCCATGTAGTACTGGCTAAGTGAGCCCGTAAGTGGAGGCTCTGGAGTCTTTATCAGTATCAATAGTTGATACTGGGGATAGGCTCCATAGACGTGCCAATCCAATCAAAGACTATCAGGATGATCAGACCGGTGAATTGATGGGGTGTACACGTCGCTCAGAGTGCACCAGGACTGCGGGGCTGGCCACAGTAGGCCGGTCTAGGGAGCAGATGTCCTGGTGTCACAAGGGCTTTCCTTATCCAACACACACAGAGATCACACTAACGTGATGCTTCAAATGAACAAATGCGCAGGGGGGGGGGGGATGTGTAAAAGCCTGGTTTGTGCCTCGGAGAGGCTACGGGATCCAGTAAGTTCAGTAGAACTACAGTTTCAACCCTTTTAACCCTGTCGTAGCTCAGTCGATTAAGGCAGTGTCTGGGATGCTCCCGGACGCAGGTTCGAATCCTCGTCTCGGCCCTTGTGGATTTGTTCCTTATCCAAGTTCCCCGAAGTTGGTAGTCTGATCGAATTTCCGCTTACAAGGAGAAATCTAGAGATATATAAGTGTGGGTACACTTCACTCTACGACTCACCTAACCCCTTAATCGTAGGGAGCGGCGAAGGATAGGGTGAGGTTATAGTTGTCTGACACCGGCTTCTAGCTGTCCGCCAGGTCTTACATCTTCCTTTTCGATCAATGGAGGACCATCAAATAGTTGTATTCTCGAGGTCGAATGCATCCGGATGTTGATTACTGGTGTCAGCGAGTAACAGGAGTTACTCGCCTGTTGTGGGTTGCATTCTGAGTAAGGTCTGCCAAGGGACAGCTCTATATCTGACAAATTTTCTACCTCCAATAATGGTAAACCACAAAACTTATTCATGGAAAACCCAGCACACACATATTGTTTATGTTTACTCCCATAACGGGTCGGATTGGCAACGGCCTTCCTTGCAGGTTCGACGTTCGATGCCCCTATGACCCATGTGGCTGGGTACAGTTCCTTCACTCATGTCCTCGTATCCCTGCTCCTTGTCTCCACACCCTGTACAAGTGTTCACCCTGTACAAGTCCTCACCCTGTACAGTCCTCACCCTGTACAAGTCCTCACCCTGTACAAGTGCTCACCCTGTACAAGTGCTCACCCTGTACAAGTCCTCACACCCTGTACAAGTGCTCACCCTGTACAAGTGCTCACCCTGTACAATTCCTCACACCCTGTACAAGTGCTCACCCTGTACAAGTCCTCACACCCTGTACAAGTCCTCACACCCTGTACAAGTCCTCACACCCTGTACAAGTCCTCACACTGTACAAGTCCTCACACCCTGTACAAGTGTTCACCCTGTACAAGTCCTCACACCCTGTACAAGTCCTCACCCTGTACAAGTCCTCACACCCTGTACAAGTGTTCACCCTGTACAAGTCCTCACACCCTGTACAAGTGCTCACCCTGTACAAGTCCTCACCCTGTACAAGTCCTCACCCTGTACAAGTCCTCACCCTGTACAAGTCCTCACACCCTGTACAAGTGCTCACACTGTACAAGTCCTCACACCCTGTACAAGTCCTCACCCTGTACAAGTCCTCACCCTGTACAAGTCCTCACACCCTGTACAAGTGCTCACACTGTACAAGTCCTCACACCCTGTACAAGTCCTCACACCCTGTACAAGTCCTCACACCCTGTACAAGTCCTCACACCCTGTACAAGTCCTCACCCTGTACAAGTCCTCACACCCTGTACAAGTCCTCACACCCTGTACAAGTCCTCACACCCTGTACAAGTGCTCACCCTGTACAAGTCCTCACACCCTGTACAAGTCCTCACACTGTACAAGTCCTGTACAAGTCCTCACACCCTGTACAAGTCCTCACACTGTACAAGTCCTCACACCCTGTACAAGTGTTCACAGAGCGCCCACCTCTAACCTCTTATTATACCCGGCAGATCAAGTTCATGGAACAGTTTGGCTACGTCCAAAAGAGTGACAATGTTTCCGGAGCGCTCTACACGGAACAGTCTCTCGAGGAATATATCATGAAACTGCAGAAGTTCGGCAACATTCCCCAAACTGGAGTTGTCGATAATGCCACTTTGGAGGTGAGAGGAGTAAAATCATTTAAATTACATTTTTATTTGCATAAACAATACTATTGTCGTAGTATTGTTCCCACTCGAATTTCTACGAGTTCCCCCTCCAGAATCTATGATTTCCTCACCATTTTCTATGAGTTGTCTCTCCAGTTTCAATGAGTTTCCCCTTCAATTTCTATGCATTTTCCCGCCATTTTCGTAAGCGTGTCCTCTCTAACCATTAACATTACTCCTCGTCATGCTAAAAAATCAACCTGTCCTCCAGAATTTGGCATCAAAATCCCCAGCGGTCAGAATATGATGAACTATAAATCAAAGTAGCTAAAAAACATTCACGTTTTCTATGATTGGTTAGCTAGTGGTTTGTTTACAATACTCGCCCCTTCCCCCATCACACTATATTCTCTCTCACCCCTCACACTATATTCTCCCTCACTCCTCACACAGCTGATAGCCACCCCTCGCTGCGGCCGCCCTGATCTAGAGACCAGCGTCCCGAAGGACTCCGAGGACCACAGGGAACCCCATGAACACATCCGGCGCAAGCGATACATTGTAGGGGGACTTGGCTGGGAGAAGAGACGATTAACTTACCAGTAAGTATTGTGATGGGGGCGTTGGAAGGGGTTGGAGAAGGGAAAGGATGGGCGGGAAGGGATGGTATGGGATAGGGAAGATGAGAGATAACTCATTATAGTCGCTATCTCTTGGTCTCCGTCTCACACCTACCTATCTTTCAGCTTGGCCAACTGGTCTCCGCAGCTAAAGTCGAAGGAGAATGTGCAGAAGGAGTTACGGAAGGCCTTCGACGCCTGGAGTGTCTACTCCCATCTACAGTTCTCAGAGGTCGACACGGGTGACGCCGACATTATCATCTACTTCGCCAGTTACGATCACTATGATGGGTAAGGCGAGCTCTGTACTCACCTAGTTGTGTTTGCGGGGGTTGAGCTTTGCTCTTTCGGCCCGCCTCTCAACTGTCAATTAACTGTTTCTAACTAAGTGAGCCGGTCGGCCGAGCGGACAGCACACTGGGCTTGTGATCCTGTGGTCCTGGGTTCGATCCCAGGCGCCGGCGAGAAACAATGGGCAGAGTTTCTTTCACCCTATGCCCCTGTTACCTAGCAGTAAAAGTGGTACCTGGGTGTTAGTCAGCTATCACGGGCTGCTTCCTGGGGGTGGAGGGCTGGTCGAGGACCGGGCCGCGGGGACACTAAAGCCCCGAAATCATCACAAGATAACCTCAAGATAACTACTGCTACTATTTTTTTTCTCCACACCACACACACACACCAGGAAGCAACCCGTGACAGCTGACTAACTCCCAGGTACCTATTTGCTGCTAGGTAACAGGGGCATTCAGGGTGAAAGAAACTTTGCCCATTTGTTTCTGCCTGGTGCGGGAATCGAACCCGCGCCACAGAATTACGAGTCCTGCGTGCTATCCACCAGGCAACCAGGCCCCTAGGGGGCCTGGTAGTGTGTGTGTGTGTGTGTGTGTGTGTGTGTGTGTGTGTGTGTGTGTGTGTGTGTGTGTGTGTGTGTGTGTGTGTGTATGTGTGTGTGTGTGTGTGTGAATGTGTGTGTGTGTGTGAATGTGTGTGTGTGTGTGTGTGTGTGTGTGTGTGTGTGTGTGTGTGTGTGTGTGTGTGTGTGTGTGTGTGAATGTGTGTGTGTTCGCGCGCGAGTGTGTGTGATATTAAGTTCTTAAACATATACAATCACCAATTACACAGTTTCTTATCTTCCTTTGAGTTCATTCACTCGTAATATTGTCGTTCCTTGCCCTTAGGTACCCTTTCGACGGGCCGAGTGGCATCTTGGCCCACGCCTACTACCCCTATGAGTTCGGATCGTACGGCGGAGACGTCCACTTTGACGAGAGTGAAAAATGGAACATCAGACCCAAAGACGAGTATTCAGGTCAGTCCAGCTCATACCAAGGTCAAAGGTCGGGTCATAGCAGGTCTCTGAGCAATAGACCAGGTCAAGTGGAGGTGTCATTAGATCATGTTAGGGACCAACCCGTTCTCGCAAATTCGTAAAGTCAATATTGACTTATTAACTACGTGCATAGGTGATATACTAAACATAATAGATACCCTTAAAAAGATTCATAGAAAACACCGACCTTACCTAACCTTGTTAGTATCTTAAGATAAGCATCTTATTGCTTCGTAATTACAATTATTACTTAACCTATACCTATTATAGGTTAGATAATTGTAATTACGAAGCAATAAGATGCTTATCTTAAGACACTAACAAGGTTAGGTAAGGTCGGTGTTTTCTATGAATCTTTTTAAGGGTATCTATTATGTTAAGTATGTCACCTATGCACATATTTAATAAGTCAATATTGACTTATTAAATTTGCGAGAACGGGTTGCAGGGACATGTGCTGGCCCAGGATAGGTTTAGGAAGTCACTATGGAAGTTACGGAAGACTTATTTAGTGTTTTTCTTAGCTGGGAGATTTAGGGAAGATACAAGCGAGGTGTAGAAAGGAACTTGTTCAGACACTCCCATATCAGACGCAGAAACTCCCATATCAGACGCAGAAACTCCCGTATCAGACGCAGAAACTCCCATATCAGACGCAGAAACTCCCGTATCAGACGCAGAAACTCCCGTATCAGACGCAGAAACTCCCATATCAGACGCAGAAACTCCCGTATCAGACGCAGAAACTCCCGTATCAGAAGCAGAAACTCCCATATCAGACGCAGAAACTCCCGTATCAGACGCAGAAACTCCCGTATCAGACGCAGAAACTCCCGTATCAGAAGCAGAAACTCCCATATCAGACGCAGAAACTCCCGTATCAGACGCAGAAACTCCCCATATCAGACAAAGACCCCCCATATCAGACGTAGACACTCCCATATCAGACGCAGACCCCCCATATCAGACGCAGACACTCCCATATCAGACGCAGACACCCCCCATTTCAGATGCAGACCCCCCATATCAGACGCAGACACTCCCCATATCAGACGCAGACCCCCCATATCAGACGCAGAAACTCCCATATCAGACGCAGAAACTCCCATATCAGACGCAGAAACTCCCATATCAGACGCAGAAACTCCCGTATCAGACGCAGAAACTCCCATATCAGACGCAGAAACTCCCGTATCAGACGCAGAAACTCCCGTATCAGACGCAGAAACTCCCGTATCAGACGCAGAAACTCCCGTATCAGACGCAGAAACTCCCATATCAGACGCAGAAACTCCCATATCAGACGCAGACACTCCCATATCAGACGCAGAAACTCCCGTATCAGACGCAGTCCCCCCATATCAGACGCAGACACCCCCCATATCAGACGCAGACACTCCCCATATCAGACGCAGACCCCCCATATCAGAGGCAGACCCCCCATATCAGACGCAGACACTCCCCATATCAGACGCAGACCCCCATATCAGACGCAGACACCCCCCCATATCAGACGCAGACCCCCCATATCAGACGCAGACACCCCCCATATCAGACGCAGACACCCCCCCATATCAGACGCAGACCCCCCATATCAGACGCAGACACCCCCCATATCAGACGCAGACCCCCCTATCAGACGCAGACAACCCCCATATAAGACGCAGACCCCCCATATCAGACGCAGACAACCCCCATATAAGACGCAGACCCCCCATATCAGACGCAGACACCCCCCATGTCAGACGCAGACCCCCCATATCAGACGCAGACAACCCCCATACAAGACGCAGACCCCCATATCAGACGCAGACACCCCCCCCCATATCAGACGCACACCCCCCCATATCAGACGCAGACACCCCCCATATCAGACGCAGACACCCCCCATATCAGACGCAGACACCCCCCCCCCCCCATATCAGACGCAGACACCCCCATATCAGACGCAGACACCCCCCATATCAGACGCAGACACCCCCCATATCAGACGCAGACACCCCCCATATCAGATGCAGACACCCCCCATATCAGACGCAGACACCCCCCCCCATATCAGACGCAGACACCCCCCATATCAGACGCAGACACCCCCATATCAGACGCAGACACCCCCATATCAGAAGCAGACACCCCCATATCAGACGCAGACACCCCCCATATCAGACGCAGACACCCCCCATATCAGACGCAGACACCCCCCATATCAGACGCAGACACCCCCCATATCAGACGCAAGACACCCCCCCATATCAGACGCAGACACCCCCCATATCAAACGCAGACACCCCCCATATCAGACGCAGACACCCCCCATATCAGACGCAGACACCCCCCATATCAGACGCAGACACCCCCCCCCCATATCAGACGCAGACACCTCCCATATCAGACGCAGACACCCCCCATATCAGACGCAGACACCCCCCCATATCAGACGCAGACACCCCCCCCCCATATCAGACGCAGACACCCCCCATATCAGAGACACACCCCATAGCAGACGCAGACACCCCCCATATCAGAGACACCCCCCCATATCAGACGCAGACACCCCCCCATATCAGACGCAGACACCCCCCATATCAGACGCAGACACCCCCATATCAGACGCAGACACCCCCCCATATCAGACGCAGACACCCACCCCCATATCAGACGCAGACACCCCCCCCATATCAGACGCAGACACCCCCCCCCCATATCAGACGCAGACACCCCCCATATCAGAGACACCCCCCATATCAGACGCAGACACACCCCCATATCAGACGCAGACACCCCCCCCCCATATCAGACGCAGACACCCCCCATATCAGACGCAGACACCCCCCCATATCAGACGCAGACACCCCCCATATCAGACGCAGACACCCCCCCATATCAGACGCAGACACCCCCCATATCAGACGCAGACACCCCCCCATATCAGACGCAGACACCCCCCATATCAGACGCAGACTCCCCCCATATCAGACGCAGACACCCCCCATATCAGACGCAGACACCCCCCATATCAGACGCAGACACCCCCCCATATCAGAGACATTATCACTCAGCAAACTATTCCATTCCCGGAAGACTTGGTCTCCTCCGATACCATTATCATGATCAATATTTTAAAATTTAAATGTTGATTTTATTTTCAATTTTAATTGTTTTCAGAAATAAAATGTGCTCATTGCTCCATTAAAAATTGAATGTGTTGATACGTGCGTATTTAGTAGGCTTCCAGACCCCCTTAGTGAACCAGACCATTTAGTTAACACGATCCCAGATGGTATATTAAGGCAGCAAATTAAACCTTAGTTTCACTGTCCCTTCCCTAATGTTACATCCCCCTTCCCTGGCACCTTACCTTCAAGCTTCCCTTCCCCTAGGGCCGTCCCTCAGGGCCACTCACCCCTAAATCCTGCCCTACAGGATTGGACTTCTTCACGGTGGCCGTACACGAGATTGGTCACTCGCTAGGCCTGGCCCATTCTCCTGTGTCTGGGTCCATCATGTTCCCGTACTACAAGGGCTACACCAAGCACTTCGCTCTAGACTATGACGACGTCATGGCCATGTGGGAGCTCTATAGTAAGTAGAGCGCTGTCCTCTGTTGCTGCTGCTCTATTGTGAGTGCCTCGCTCTGTTGGTGCTCTATGTGTGCAGCAGAGCACAGTTTTGTTGAGTTCTCCGTGTGTTTGGTGGTCTATAATGTATGTCTCGATGTATTTACACTACACAACACTGTACAGCTTCACAACACTGCACAACACTGTACAGTGGACTAGGAGCTGGGATATGAGGACTAGGAGCTGGGATATGGGGACCAGGAGCTGGGATATGAGGACCAGGAGCTGGGATATGGGGACCAGGAGCTGGGATATGAGGACAAGGAGCTGGGATATGAGGACAAGGAGCTGGGATATGAGGACAAGGAGCTGGGATATGAGGACAAGGAGCTGGGATATGAGGACAAGGAGCTGGGATATGAGGACAAGGAGCTGGGATATGAGGACAAGGAGCTGGGATATGAGGACAAGGAGCTGGGATATGAGGACAAGGAGCTGGGATAAGTGGACTAGGAGCTGGGATATGAGGACCAGGAGCTGGGATATGAGGACCAGGAGCTGGGATATGAGGACCAGGAGCTGGGATATGAGGACCAGGAGCTGGGATATGAGGACTAGGAGCTGGGATATGAGGACCAGGAGCTGGGATATGAGGACCAGGAGCTGGGATATGAGGACCAGGAGCTGGGATATGAGAACAAGGAGCTGGGATATGTGGACTAGGAGCTGGGATATGAGGACCAGGAGCTGGGATATGAGGACAAGGAGCTGGGATATGAGGACAAGGAGCTGGGATATGAGGACAAGGAGCTGGGATATGAGGACAAGGAGCTGGGATATGAGGACAAGGAGCTGGGATATGAGGACAAGGAGCTGGGATATGAGGACAAGGAGCTGGGATACGAGGACAAGCAGCTGGGATATGAGGACCAGGCGCTGGGATATGAGGACCAGGCGCTGGGATATGAGGACAAGGAGCTGGGATATGAGGACAAGGAGATGGGATATGAGGACCAGGAGCTGGGGTATGACACGGGATCGGAGGAACAATCTTTCAAACACAGATCCTACAAGAAACGCCACCGTTTCAATAATACGTTCACCTGACTCACCTATCCACCGTGGACAACATAATCCATGCATGAGGGGATAGATTAAAGTAATGCATAATAATTCAATAAACATGTAGCCGTCATCTCGCTCGTAACAGCCTCCCTGGCAACCTCTAATCACCAATTGGACTATTTTATCCACTAATTATCATAAGTATTAATCAATTATCAAGATTATTATCAAGCTTCACTAATATGATCATTAGACACCTGTGTGAAGGTCCTCGAGTTCCCAAGGATGCCAACGTCAACAGTTGCGTAAATCCTCTGAAGGGTAGATAGGGTGATAGGGGAAGATATATGAGAGAGGGAGGGGGTAATGGGGCAGAAAGTGGGGGGTGAGAGACCCGGGTAAAGCCGGGTAAGAGGATATCAACCGGGTAACCCATCCGGTAGCCGCCATACCCCATAATATTTACACGACCGGTTGCTTGTGGTCTATATTCACAGTAAAACGTAAACTTGACGGCGACGACGAATACTTCAACTCCACCACGACGACCACCACGACCACCCCGGCCTACCCAGACGACGACCACCAGGCCGACGCCGCCGGCGACGACAACCCCGAGGGTAAGAGTCCTAATCCTGATGATAATGAAGCTGATGATGATAATAATGTACTTAAAGACGAGGCTAAAGACTGGGACGAGGCTACAGACTCGGACGAAGTCAGTTACCGCGGAGACTATGAGACAGTTGACCAACATAGAAAACGGGTGCAAGGTGGTTGGGTGGATGACTTGCCTGGTTTACCACATCTTCCACCAGAGGGAGATGGAGCCCACGGGAGGAAAGAGGACGAGGAGGAAGACTTCTACGCGGAAGACAGGAAGAGAAGAGAGGAAGAAGAGAAACGCCGCGAGGAAGATCGAAAGAGAGAAGAGGAAGACGAGGCGGAAAGACGGCGTTCGGAGGAGGACATCAAAAGGAGGGAGGAAGAGACCAGACGAAGAGAAGAGGAAGCAAGGAGGAGATGGGAGGAAGAATGGGAAGCTAGAGGAGGAGAGGAGCCGGAGGACACACCTCCCGGGTCCGAGCCCCGGCTCCCTAACCTCTGTCACGGCAGCTACGACGCCATGGCTCTTCTTAGACAAGAACTCTTTATCTTTAAGGATCAGGTGAGTCCCCCCTATACTGTCCGTTCTTCCCACATGCTGTGAGCCTTTCCTACATTCTGTGAGCCTTTGTGAGCCTTTCCCACATGCTGTGAGTCTTTCCCACATGTTGTGAGCCTTTCCCACATGCTGTGAGCCCCTCCCACATGCTGTGAGCCCCTCCCACATGCTGTGAGCCCCTCCCACATGCTGTGAACCTTTCCCACATGCTATGAACCCCTCCCACATGCTGTGAGCCTTTCCCACATGCTGTGAGCCCCTCCCACATGCTGTGAGCCCCTCCCACATGCTGTGAGCCCCTCCCACATGCTGTGAGCCCCTCCCACATGCTGTGAGCCCCTCCCACATGCTGTGAGCCCCTCCCACATGCTGTGAGCCCCTCCCACATGCTGTGAGCCCCTCCCACATGCTGTGAGCCCCTCCCACATGCTGTGAACCCCTCCCACATGCTGTGAGCCCCTCCCACATGCTGTGAACCCCTCCCACATGCTGTGAGCCCCTCCCACATGCTGTGAGCCCCTCCCACATGCTGTGAGCCCCTCCCACATGCTGTGAGCCCCTCCCACATGCTGTGAGCCCCTCCCACATGCTGTGAGCCCCTCCCACATGCTGTGAGCCCCTCCCACATGCTGTGAGCCCCTCCCACATGCTGTGAGCCCCTCCCACATGCTGTGAGCCCCTCCCACATGCTGTGAGCCCCTCCCACATGCTGTGAGCCCCTCCCACATGTTGTGAGCCCCTCCCACATGCTGTGAGCCCCTCCCACATGCTGTGAGCCCCTCCCACATGCTGTGAGCCCCTCCCACATGCTGTGAGCCCCTCCCACATGCTGTGAGCCCCTCCCACATGCTGTGAGCCCCTCCCACATGCTGTGAGCCCCTACCACATGCTGTGAGCTCCTACCACATGCTGTGAGCCCCTCAACAGTCCTGGAACTCACATTAGAGAACATGCGGAAGGGGCTTAAAAGCCATCGGGGTTTCCAAGTTAATTATACAACATAGTCGCCATCCATCAGTCTCAGGAGACTATGGAGTGGCCTCACCAGGGCGCAAAGCCACGGTAGGTTGATTCGGGAGAGAAGCTGTTACCCATGCAGCAGGGAACACCAGCGCCCCCTGGCCAGCAGCGCCCCCTGGCCAGCAGGGACCCGGTCACCAGCGCCCCCTGGCCACCAGCGCCCCCTGGCCAGCAGGGACCCGGCCACCAGCGCCCCCTGGCCACCAGCGCCCCCTGGCCACCAGCGCCCCCTGGCCACCAGCGCCCCCTGGCTACCAGCGCCCCCTGGCCACCAGCGCTCCCTGGCCAGCAGCACACCCCTGGCCACCAGCGCCCCCCTGGCCACCAGCGCCCCCTGGCCACCAGCGCCCCCTGGCCACCAGCGCCCCCTGGCCACCAGCGCCCCCTGGCCACCAGCGCCCCCTGGCCACCAGCGCCCCCTGGCCACCAGCGCCCCCTGGCCACCAGCGCCCCCTGGCCACCAGCGCCCCCCTGGCCAGCAGCACCCCCCTGGCCAGCAGCACCCCCCTGGCCACCAGCGCCCACTGGCCACCAGCGCCCCCTGGCCACCAGCGCCCCCTGGCCACCAGCACCCCCCTGGCTACCAGCACCCCCCTGGCCACCAGCACCCCCTGGCCACCAGCGCCCCCTGGCCACCAGCGCCCCCTGGCCACCAGCGCCCCCTGGCCACCAGCGCCCCCTGGCCACCAGCGCCCCCTGGCCACCAGCGCCCCCTGGCCACCAGCGCCCCCTGGCCACCAGCGCCCCCTGGCCACCAACGCCCCCTGGCCACCAGCGCCCCCTGGCCACCAGCGCCCCCTGGCCACCAGCGCCCCCTGGCCACCAGCGCCCCCTGGCCACCAGCGCCCCCTGGCCACCAGCGCCCCCTGGCCACCAGCGCCCCCTGGCCACCAGCGCCCCCTGGCCACCAGCGCCCCCTGGCCACCAGCGCCCCCTGGCCACCAGCGCCCCCTGGCCACCAGCGCCCCCTGGCCACCAGCGCCCCCTGGCCACCAGCGCCCCCTGGCCACCAGCGCCCCCTGGCCACCAGCGCCCCCTGGCCACCAGCGCCCCCTGGCCACCAGCGCCCCCTGGCCACAACACCAATAAGAGCCATCAGCGAGGCATCTGGCCACTCACAATGTCAACACAGTGTTCCAGTAACAACATTACTAACCTACACCGTAAACATAACATTGTGGCCACGTTCCAGAAAGCTCCCAAAGTAGACAACATTATTTTACAACATCTCCGCGACAAATCATTGTAAAAGCAGTACAAAATAATGATTTTTATAATGATTTACAGCTTGGGGACCATTCAAACTTTGTTTCACACTTGCGGGCTCAGCGCAGTCACTGCGCATATCAAGTCTTTAATAAAAACCTGTGGTTAGGACCACGAGCTTTGCCGGGTGATGGTTGAACTTGTCACCCTATCAGAATGTCGCATTTTGACGTATACTCTAAGGCCAAAAACTGGCACGCGAAATTTTAACCCACTGTTCCGTTTTCTGCTTTGGGTCCTCTGGTAGGTTAGGATTAGGGCTCTTTAGTACGATAGTTTCTTGACCTAGAGACACCTTAGGACGGGCTGGATGATTGGTCCTAACACCTGCCTGGTCTAGCCCCATCCTAACACCTGCCTGGTCTAGCCCCATCCTAACACCTGCCTGGTCTAGCCCCATCCTAACACCTGCCTGGTCTAGCCCCATCCTAACACCTGCCTGGACTAGCCCCATCCTAACACCTGCCTGGTCTAGCCCCATCCTAACACCTGCCTGGTCTAGCCCCATCCTAACACCTGCCTGGTCTAGCCCCATCCTAACACCTGCCTGGTCTAGCCCCATCCTAACACCTGCCTGGTCTAGCCCCATCCTAACACCTGCCTGGACTAGCCCCATCCTAACACCTGCCTGGTCTAGCCCCATCCTAACACCTGCCTGGACTAGCCCCATCCTAACACCTGCCTGGTCTAGCCTCACCCCAACACCTGCCTGGACTAGCCTCACCCCAACACCTGCCTGGTGTAGCCTCACCCTAACACCTGCCTGGACTAGCCTCACCCCAACACCTGCCTGGACTAGCCTCACCCCAACACCTGCCTGGACTAGCCTCACCCCAACACCTGCCTGGACTAGCCTCACCCCAACACCTGCCTGGTGTAGCCTCACCCTAACACCTGCCTGGTCTAGCCTCACCCCAACACCTGCCTGGACTAGCCTCACCCCAACACCTGCCTGGTGTAGCCTCACCCTAACACCTGCCTGGACTAGCCTCACCCCAACACCTGCCTGGACTAGCCTCACCCCAACACCTGCCTGGACTAGCCTCACCCCAACACCTGCCTGGTGTAGCCTCACCCTAACACCTGCCTGGACTAGCCTCACCCCAACACCTGCCTGGTGTAGCCTCACCCTAACACCTGCCTGGTGTAGCCTCACCCCAACACCTGCCTGGTGTAGCCTCACCCTAACACCTGCCTGGACTAGCCTCACCCCAACACCTGCCTGGTGTAGCCTCACCCTAACACCTGCCTGGTGTAGCCTCACCCCAACACCTGTCTGGCCTAGTCTCACCCCAACACCTGTCTGGCCTAGTCTCACCACAACACCTGTCTGGCCTAGTCTCACCCCAACACCTGTCTGGCCTAGTCTCACCCCAACACCTGTCTGGCCTAGTCTCACCCCAACACCTGTCTGGCCTAGTCTCACCCCAACACCTGTCTGGCCTAGTCTCACCCCAACACCTGCCTGGACTAGTCCCATCCTAACACCTGCCTCTGGGCCTCTTACAGTACGTGTGGCGATACAGTGAGCGGCGGCGCCTGAGGGATGGATACCCGACCCTCATCCGTAACCTCTTCCCGGCCCTGCCGTCTTTCTTGAAGAAAATCAACGCTGTCTACGAGAGACCGTCTGACAGCAACATTATCTTCTTTATAGGTGAGGTGGGGGTGTGGGGGGGTGTGTGGGGTGTGTGTGGGGGTGTGTGGGGGGTGTGTGGGGGGTGTGTGGGGGGGTGTGTGGGGGGGGTATGGGGGGGTGTGGGGGTGTGTGAGGTTGGGGGGGGGGTGTGGGGGTGTGGGGGGGGGTGTGGGGGGTGTGTGGGGGGTGTGGGGGTGTGTGGGGGTGTGTGTGTGGTATATGTGTGTGTGTGTGTGTGTGTGTGTGTGTGTGTGTGTGTGTGTGTGTGTGTGGGGTGTGTGTCCTATCACAACCTCGTGGCAGTCTCTCCTGACTCCTAGTCACTCCCTAATGACCAATTAACTCCACATGACCCGTCACGACCTTCAAACTATCCCCTAGCGCCGTCCCATGACCCGGAATCTATCCCACAGGAAAATATTACTACGTCCACGATGGGGACCGCCTAGTGGAGGGGTCGCCGCGCCCCCTAACCTCTCTGGGTCTTCCGGAACTACAGACCAGCATCGACGCTGCTTTCCACTGGCCTAGAGCCGATAAGACCTACTTCTTCAGGTAGGTCCTACCTCTCCAAGCTCCTACTGAGAGCTATTTCTCCCTCAGGAAGGGACTTTCCGGCGTAGCAAGGTTGTAGGTGTAGGTAATGAGCTTGGAAGGTTGTAATGACATGTTTAACAACCAGTTTAAGCTTAACTTTACAAGGTTATAATAATATTAAATCCTTGACTTTATCCACAACAGCAAAAATTGGTATTTTCGGTACAATGAGAAGACTCGACAAATGGACCCCGGCTACCCGAAGGACATTAGCAAGTGGAACGGCCTTCCTAGCAACCTGGACGCTGCCTTCACCTTCACTGATGGTGAGAGGGAGAGAGAGAGAGAGACAGAGAGAGAGAGAGAGAGACAGAGAGAGAGAGAGAGACAGAGAGAGAGAGAGACAGAGAGAGAGAGAGAGACAGAGAGAGAGAGAGACAGAGAGAGAGAGAGACAGAGAGAGAGAGAGAGACAGAGAGAGAGAGAGAGAGACAGAGAGAGAGAGAGACAGAGAGAGAGAGAGACAGAGAGAGAGAGAGACAGAGAGAGAGAGAGACAGAGAGAGAGAGAGAGAGACAGAGAGAGAGAGAGAGAGAGACAGAGAGAGAGAGAGACAGAGAGAGAGAGAGACAGAGAGAGAGAGAGACAGAGAGAGAGAGAGACAGAGAGAGAGAGAGAGACAGAGAGAGAGAGAGACAGAGAGAGAGAGAGACAGAGAGAGAGACAGAGAGAGAGACAGAGAGAGAGAGAGACAGAGAGAGAGAGAGACAGAGAGAGAGACAGAGAGAGAGAGAGAGAGAGAGAGAGAGAGAGAGAGAGAGAGACAGAGAGAGAGAGACAGAGAGAGAGAGACAGAGAGAGAGACAGAGAGAGAGAGACAGAGAGAGAGAGAGAGAGAGAGACAGACAGACAGACAGAGAGACAGACAGAGACAGAGACAGAGACAGAGACAGAGAGAGAGACAGAGAGAGAGACAGACAGAGAGAGAGACAGAGAGAGAGAGAGAGACAGAGAGAGAGAGAGAGACAGAGAGACAGAGAGACAGATTTTAACGTCACCTTTTATATAAGGACTAGTCAATGCTTTTCTCAAGTTAATAATTTATTTTAATATTGAAATACCATCATTCCCCCTCACACCTCCCTCACACCTCATCCCTCACACCTCACCACTCACTCTCCTCCTCCTCCCTCAGGTCTTTCATACTTCATCAGAGGTTATCAGTACTGGAAGTACGACAACGTCCGCATCGAGCCGTACTCCGAGTACCCTAAGGACGCCCCAGAGTACTGGGCCGGTTGTCCACCCGGCGACCTCAATTAGTGCTGTGTGGTACAGTCACACAGGTACAGGGAGGGAAGCTGTAGCTACACAGGTACAGGAACTGTAGCTACACAGGTACAGGGAGGGAAGCTGTAGCCACACAGGTACAGGGAGGGAAGCTGTAGCTACACAGGTACAGGGAGGGAAGCTGTAGCTACACAGGTACAGGAACTGTAGCTACACAGGTACAGGAGCTGTAGCTACACAGGTACAGGAGCTGTAGCTACACAGGTACAGGAGCTGTAGCTACACAGGTACAGGAACTGTAGCTACACAGGTACAGGAACTGTAGCTACACAGGTACAGGAACTGTAGCTACACAGGTACAGGAACTGTAGCCACACAGGTACAGGAACTGTAGCCACACAGGTACAGGAACTGTAGCTACACAGGTACAGGAACTGTAGCCACACAGGTACAGGAACTGTAGCCACACAGGTACAGGAACTGTAGCCACACAGGTACAGGAACTGTAGCCACACAGGTACAGGAACTGTAGCCACACAGGTACAGGAACTGTAGCTACACAGGTACAGGAACTGTAGCTACACAGGTACAGGAACTGTAGCCACACAGGTACAGGAACTGTAGCTACACAGGTACAGGAACTGTAGCTACACAGGTACAGGAACTGTAGCTACACAGGTACAGGAACTGTAGCTACACAGGTACAGGAACTGTAGCTACACAGGTACAGGAACTGTAGCCACACAGGTACAGGAACTGTAGCTACACAGGTACAGGAACTGAAGCTACACAGGTACAGGAACTGTAGCTACACAGGTACATGAACTGTAGCTACACAGGTACAGGAACTGTAGCTACACAGGTACAGGAACTGTAGCTACACAGGTACAGGAACTGTAGCCACACAGGTACAGGAACTGTATCCACACAGGTACAGGAACTGTAGCTACACAGGTACACGAGCTGTAGCTACACAGGTACAGGAACTGTAGCCACACAGGTACAGGAACTGTAGCCACACAGGTACAGGAACTGTAGCCACACAGGTACAGGAACTGTAGCCACACAGGTACAGGAACTGTAGCCACACAGGTACAGGAACTGTAGCCACACAGGTACAGGAACTGTAGCCACACAGGTACAGGAACTGTAGCCACACAGGTACAGGAACTGTAGCCACACAGGTACAGGAACTGTAGCCACACAGGTACAGGAACTGTAGCCACACAGGTACAGGAACTGTAGCCACACAGGTACAGGAACTGTAGCCACACAGGTACAGGAACTGTATCCACACAGGTACAGGAACTGTATCCACACAGGTACAGGGAGGGAAGCTGTAGCTACACAGGTACAGGAGCTGTAGCTACACAGGTACAGGAGCTGTAGCTACACAGGTACAGGAACTGTAGCTACACAGGTACAGGTGCTGTAGCTACACAGGTACAGGAACTGTAGCCAAACAGGTACAGGAGCTGTAGCTACACAGGTACAGGAGCTGTAGCTACACAGGTACAGGAACTGTAGCTACACAGGTACAGGAACTGTAGCTACACAGGTACAGGTGCTGTAGCTACACAGGTACAGGAACTGTAGCTACACAGGTACAGGAACTGTAGGGACCTCCTACCATCCGGCTAGCAACAGGACCTACCATCCGGCTAGCAGCAGGACCTCCTATCATCCGGCTAGCAACAGGACCTCCTATCATCCGGCTAGCAGCAGGACCTACCATCCGGCTAGCAACAGGACCTACCATCCGGCTAGCAGCAGGACCTATCATCCGGCTAGCAGCAGGACCTCCTATCATCCAGCTAGCAACAGGACCTCCTATCATCCGGCTAGCAACAGGACCTACCATCCGGCTAGCAACAGGACCTCCTACCATCCGGCTAGCAACAGGACCTACCATCCGGCTAGCAGCAGGACCTACCATCCGGCTAGCAATAGGACCTACAATCCGGCTAGCAACAGGACCTACCATCCGGCTTGCAGCAGGCCCTACCATCCGGCTAGCAGCAGGCCCTACCATCCGGCTAGCAACAGGACCTACCATCCGGCTAGCAGCAGGACCTACCATCCGGCTAGCAGCAGGACCTACCATCCGGCTAGCAACAGGACCTCCTATCATCCGGCTAGCAACAGGACCTACCATCCGGCTAGCAACAGGACCTCCTACCATCCGGCTAGCAACAGGACCTACCATCCGGCTAGCAGCAGGACCTACCATCCGGCTAGCAATAGGACCTACAATCCGGCTAGCAACAGGACCTACCATCCGGCTAGCAGCAGGCCCTACCATCCGGCTAGCAGCAGGCCCTACCATCCGGCTAGCAGCAGGCCCTACCATCCGGCTAGCAGCTAAACTTGCATAGCATCAGAATGTCTACAATAGACTGGTGCCCAAATGCCCTAATACGTACGAACCCCACGACGCCATGCTGTATACGAAGGTGTATTACTGCTGTGTATACACACCTCTCTGGGGGGTTATACAACCGTGATTTCTGTCGTGTATACTTCGTTATACTTCCCTGCATATCTGGGTTTAGCCTGGTGTTTGCTCTCTCTAATGTTGTCTCAGTGTATTATGTATTATGTATACTGTGTTTGTATACTGGCATCTTGTATGTTGATGTGTTTGCTACTCCTGTATTTTATACTATTTCTGTATGTTTGCCCTGTATATTCCTCCTTTATGTTGTCGTGTATACTCCTGTATGTTGCTGTGTATACTCCTGTATGTTGCTGTGTATACTCCTGTATGTTGCTGTGTATACTCCTGTATGTTGCTGTGTATACTCCTGTATGTTGCTGTGTATACTCCTGTATGTTGCTGTGTATACTCCTGTGGCTGTGTATACTCCTGTTGCTGTGTATACTCCTGTTGCTGTGTATACTCCTGTTGCTGTGTATACTCCTGTTGCTGTGTATACTCATGTTTGTTGCTGTGTATACTCCTGTATGTTGGTGTGTATACTCATGTATGTTGGTGTGTATACTCATGTATGTTGCTGTGTATACTCATGTATGTTGCTGTGTATACTCATGTATTTTGGTGTGTATACTCATGTGTGTTGCTGTGTATACTCATGTTGCTGTGTATACTCATGTTGCTGTGTATACTCATGTTTCTGTGTATACTCATGTATGTTGCTGTGTATACTCATGTATGTTGCTGTGTATACTCATGTATGTTGCTGTGTATACATATGTTGCTGTGTATACTCATGTATGTTGCTGTGTATACTTATGTTGCTGTGTATACTCCTGTATGTTGCTGTGTATACTCATGTTGTTGTGTATACTCATGTTCATGTGTATACTCATGTTTCTGTGTATACTCCTGTATGTTGCTGTGTATACTCCTGTATGTTGTTGTGTATACTCATGTTGCTGTGCATACTCCTGTATGTTGGTGTGTATACTCATGTATGTTGCTGTGTATACTCCTGTATGTTGGTGTGTATACTCATGTATTTTGGTGTGTATACTCATGTATGTTGGTGTGTATACTCATGTATGTTGGTGTGTATACTCATGTATGTTGCTGTGTATACTCATGTATGTTGCTGTGTATACTCATGTTTCTGTGTATACTCATGTATGTTGCTGTGTATACTCATGTATGTTGCTGTGTATACTTATGTTGCTGTGTATACTCATGTATGTTGCTGTGTATACTTATGTTGCTGTGTATACTCCTGTATGTTGTTGTGTATACTCATGTTGTTGTGTATACTCATGTTTCTGTGTATACTCATGTTTCTGTGTATACTCATGTATGTTGCTGTGTATACTCATGTATGTTGTGTATACTCCTGTATGTCGCCAGCTCCTGTATGTTCTGTTTTATTAACAAAGTATGACTGTATTTGGGACTTAAGTCCACAATAAAATTTATTATTTTTATTAATGGTTTGTTTTTATTATCATATTAGTAATGAGAGCAGGTGTTATACCTTGAGGTGCTTCCGGGGCTCAGCGTCCCCGCGGCCCGGTCGTCGACCAGGCCTCCTGGTTGCTAGACTGATCAACCAGGCTGTTGGACGCGGCTGCTCGCAGCCTGACGTATGAGTCAGCCTACAGGCCAATTCCACCCCCCTCGACCCACTGATTGTCAGCCAATTACAATCTAGCTGGATTAGCCAGTCGACCAATCACGAGTGAGCTTTGTATTGAAGTATATTGAGATTCACTTCAAAAAAAATAATTTTTATTGGTTGGGCCTTGGACTTAAGGCCAATATCAGACTTTTGATATAGGCCTTAATTCGTAAGGAAAACCAAGGTAAATCTCTGGCCCCTTGATTGGTCGACACGATAACTTGCTGACCAATCAGCTTGTTTGATTGGTACACTGTTGATGACTGGGTACTAACCTAGTTGTGCTTGCGGGGGTTGAGCTCTGGCTCTTTGGTCCCGCCTCTCAACCGTCAATCAACTGGTGTACAGATTCCTGAGCCTACTGGGCTCTGTGTGTGTGTGTGTGTGTGTGTGTGTGTGTGTGTGTGTGTGTGTGTGTGTGTGTGTGTGTGTGTGTGTGTGTGTGTGCTCACCTAATTGTGCTTGCGGGGGTTGAGCTTTGGCTCTTTGGTCCGTACATACATATGTATGTATGTATGTATGTATGTATGTATGTATGTATGTACGGCACTTTATCCACCTATAGTCCAATAGTTAATTGGAGAAGCTGGAGACTCTCTGATCCCGGGACGAGTTCTGGGTGACTTTTTTTTTTTATTATTTTCGACAAAAAATCAATTATATAATTGTGTTTATTAAACTGTTGTATTTTAAATGAGATAAACTAAAGTAGACTGAGTGATTTATGCTTCAACTGTTGCTTCAACTGTTGCGTCACCTGTTGCTTCACCTGTTGCTTCACCTGTTGCTTCACCTGTTGCTTCAACTGTTGCGTCACCTGTTGCTTCAACTGTTGCTTAAACTGTTGCTTCAACTGTTGCGTCACCTGTTGCTTCAACTGTTGCTTCAACTGTTGCTTCAACTGTTGCTTAAACTGTTGCTTAAACTGTTGCTTCAACTGTTGCTTCAACTGTTGCTTTAACTGTTGCTTCAACTGTTGCTTCAACTGTTGCTTAAACTGTTGCTTAAACTGTTGCTTAAACTGTTGCTTAAACTGTTGCTTCAACTGTTGCTTTAACTGTTGCTTCAACTGTTGCTTCAACTGTTGCTTAAACTGTTGCTTAAACTGTTGCTTAAACTGTTGCTTCAACTGTTGCTTTAACTGTTGCTTTAACTGTTGCTTAAACTGTTGCTTTAACTGTTGCTTCAACTGTTGCTTCAACTGTTGCTTCAACTGTTGCTTAAACTGTTGCTTAAACTGTTGCTTCAACTGTTGCTTTAACTGTTGCTTTAACTGTTGCTTTAACTGTTGCTTTAACTGTTGCTTTAACTGTTGCTTAAACTGTTGCTTAAACTGTTGCTTCAACTGTTGCTTTAACTGTTGCTTTAACTGTTGCTTTAACTGTTGCTTAAACTGTTGCTTCAAGATGTGGAGTTTCCCGCTCCACAAAACTACTTCTGATTGCGAGAGACATATTTATGCCTCCCACTCCTGCTTACAACAGTCGTCTGATTTACATACGACAGCTTATAGGGGCTATCAGGAGCCCACAGGCGCCAGAGTGGCGGACCTCAGACGCCAGAGTGGCGGACCTCAGACGCCAGAGTGGCGGACCTCAGACGCCAGAGTGGCGGACCTCAGACGCCAGAGTGGCGGACCTCAGACGCCGGAATGTCTGACTTCAGACGCCGGAATGTCTGACTTCAGACGCCGGAATGTCTGACTTCAGACGCCGGAATGTCTGACTTCAGACGCCGGAATGTCTGACTTCAGACGCCGGAATGTCTGACTTCAGACGCCGGAATGTCTGACTTCAGACGCCGGAGTGGCTGACAGCTCACGGATTTTGAAACCAAGCTTCCTATCCTAACCTAACCTAACCCAATCGAGCCCAATACAGCCCAATCCTAAGCTAGCAGATCCTACCATAACAATATACACGGTTTTAACAAACGGAAAACCGAGTTTCGTCGAATCCCCTCGAATCTGTGAATCAATCTGAGTGATTTCCAATCAACGAGACGACACAGAACATCACAGAACAGAGAAAAAACATCTCCCACACACACACAGTTTCTCAAGAAATCAATTTAACAACCACAACAATACCGTTGATCAACGACCTTCCTATTTCATTATGCCCTTCATAGCCGGGTCCTACACCTCCAGCTGTCACAGCTCATCAAACCCTTAGACAGACACACTTCAGAATCATCAAAAATGCCATTATATTCATCACCTTAATTTGTCCTCGCCGCTTGGGTAATGGTGTGGAAGAATGAGTATTATACTGTCTGTAAATCCCTCTCTTCTGACAAGATTAATGGGATTTATACAGGATTTTAAAGGGATTTAGAAGTGGCATCCATTTCTTTTAATCCATCCTCGTCAGCTCAATCTTGTAGGATTAATTGAGTATTATAGACGAGATTGTGCATGGATTCGGAGGTTTCTTGTTCCAAGAGACCTGATTGTACCATTATGTACTGTGTACACTGTACTGTAGAGTACTCGTCCATCATTGTAGAGTACTCATAGTACTCGTACAGCATTGTAGAGTACTCGTACAGCATTGTAGAGTACTCGTACAGCATTGTAGAGTACTCGTACAGCATTGTAGAGTACTCGTACAGCATTGTACCGTTATAAGTGTATATATATAATGAGAGTTTACATTAGTTATCAACTATTGTTAGGACTAAAATTTACTTGGTGGTTGGTCTCCAGTCCAACACCAAACCTGCTAGTGGTCTCCAGCCCAACACCAAACCTGCTAGTTGGTCTCCAGTCCAATACCAAACCTGCTAGTTGGTCTCCAGCCCAACACCAAACCTGCTAGTTGGTCTCCAGCCCAACACCAAACCTGCTAGTTGGTCTCCAGCCCAACACCAAACCTGCTAGTTGGTCTCCAGCCCAACACCAAACCTGCTAGTTGGTCTCCAGCCCAACACCAAACCTGCTAGTTGGTCTCCAGTCCAATACCAAACCTGCTAGTTGGTCTCCAGCCCAACACCAAACCTGCTAGTTGGTCTCCAGCCCAACACCAAACCTGCTAGTTGGTCTCCAGCCCAACACCAAACCTGCTAGTTGGTCTCCAGCCCAACACCAAACCTGCTAGTTGGTCTCCAGCCCAACACCAAACCTGCTAGTTGGTCTCTAGCCCAACACCAAACCTGCTAGTTGGTCTCCAGCCCAACACCAAACCTGCTAGTGGTCTCCAGCCCAACACCAAACCTGCTAGTTGGTCTCCAGTCCAATACCAAACCTGCTAGTTGGTCTCCAGCCCAACACCAAACCTGCTAGTTGGTCTCCAGCCCAACACCAAACCTGCTAGTTGGTCTCCAGCCCAACACCAAACCTGCTAGTTGGTCTCCAGCCCAACACCAAACCTGCTAGTTGGTCTCCAGCCCAACACCAAACCTGCTAGTGGTCTCCAGCCCAACACCAAACCTGTCAGTTGGTCTCCAGCCCAACACCAAACCTGCTAGTTGGTCTCCAGCCCAACACCAAACCTGCTAGTGGTCTCCAGCCCAACACCAAACCTGTCAGTTGGTCTCCAGCCCAACACCAAACCTGCTAGGGGTCTCCAGCTCAACACCAAACCTGCTAGGGGTCTCCAGCTCAACACCAAACCTGCTAGGGGTCTCCAGCTCAACACCAAACCTGCTAGTTGGTCTCCAGCGAACACCAAACCTGCAAGTTGGTCTCCAGTTCAACACCAAACCTGTCATTCTGAGACAAATGAGGAATACAGCTTGAGGATCAGCTACTCATATATCTGAACAACACTGACAGCCTTCATCCAAACTTTCAGCATTTATTTGCATGCAGAATGAAGGAATCTGTGAAGGCAGAGCTTCCTTCTCTGATGCTTCTTTCCTTAAAGGGTTTACAGGATTTTTGTATACCACTTATGAACTAAATTGTTCAGTTTACATTGAGAAATACAGTGAAAAAATACAGTGAAGAGGTTGAACAAATAATAGATGAGATGTGTACGTAGAATGCACGTTAATTTAATCGTGCAATGCACGATTGAACGATTAAGTTCCTTATGGACCCTTTTGTCGTGTGGTATTGGGTTCAGAATGGGCCAATAGGTCGTTTCTTTCACCTAATTGAACTGGGGCTAGATTCACGAAAGCACTTACGCAAACACTTACGAACCTGTCCATCTTTTCTCAATCTTTGGCGGCTTTGTTTACAATTATTAAACAGTTAATGAGCTCCGAAGCACCAGGAGACTGTTTATAACAATAACAACAGTTGATTGGCAAGTTTTCATGCTTGTAAACTGTTTAATAAATGTAACCAAAGCCGTTAAAGATTGAGGAAAGATGTACACGTTCGTAAGTGCTTGCGTAAGTTCTTTTGTGAATCTAGCCTTTGGTTAGTACAACGGAGGACTCGCTTGTTGTAGGTCCGAGTTCAATTCCCCTCAGACACATAAGTGTTAACACATTGTGTATTAAAAATTGGTTTGTTATCTCATATGAACTAATATTTATGTAAAGTTAGGCATAGGTTAAGTGTCTAGGTTCAGTTAGCGACTAACTGAATTTCTAGTACGTGGGTAAAGCATTTACAGGTCCTGGTTCGAACAGAAGTCGTCAGGCTGTTCGACAAATGATCGAACGTCGTAAGTTTTGAGTTGAGTGTAAACCATTTTTCATGCATAAAACCAACCCGTTCTCGCAAATTTAATAAGTCAATATTGACTTATTAGATATGTGCATAGGTGACATACTTAACATAATAGTTTCCCTTGAAAAGCTTCATAGAAAACACCGACCTTACCTAACCTACTTAGTATGTTAAGATAAGCATCTTATTGCTTCGTAATTACAATTATTACCTAACCTATACTTATAATAGGTTAAGTAACAATTGTAATTACGAAGCTATAAGATGCTTATTTTAACATACTAAGTAGGTTAGGTAAGGTCGGTGTTTTCTATGAAACTTTTCAAGGGAAACTATTATGTTTAGTATGTCACCTATGCACGCAACTAATAAGTCAATATTGACTTATTAAATTTGCGAGAACGGGTTGCATAAAACGGGGTTTAGGCAGTTGAATTAACGAGCAGTTGGCCTTTGTTTACGAGTACGGGCTGGCACCAACGCCCTCTTGGGCTTCGCAGCTCATACACTGTTTAATTATGTCAACAAAGAGCCGCCAAAGCTTGAGAAAAGATGTACAGGTTCGTAAGTACTTACGTAACTGATGATCCAAATAATGTCTGGGCCTAGGATTGGTGCCCAGTCAATCCCCCTGGTCAGGCCTCAAGCCTTGATGAAACCACTACGTCAACAAGGACCTTGGTTAACAACCAAACACAGCAACAGCAAAAAAAGACTTGGCGAGCGCCAACTCAGCCAAAACAAAGACGTGAAAGCATCAAAAGGTTCGCGAGAAAGGAGCCTGAACTCGTAACAGATAATAAGCATATGTTTCACGTCTTATTAAACTTCCTGAAAGTGGCGTCTGGATACTCAGACCCGACGCATTCTTTATTATTTTTGTACGAGGCTCTGGAGGGCTCAGAAGGCCACTTTTTCCGGACCTACAAGGTTCTAACGTCACAATGCTTGAGGAAAAATGATGCGGCCACCAACCACTAGATGGCTCTCATGCTGTAAAAGTTACTTCCGCCGCCAATCAACAGATGGCGCCATAACATGTTGTTTAAGGTACTTCCGCCACCACTCAACAGATGGCGCTATTATTTAACACCTCATTGTGTCGGGGGACAGGTAGTCAGTGTGTATATAAATATGTTTACAAGATCTCTCTCTCTTACACTCTTGATTTAGAGAACAATTTTGACGAAGAAAACGGAGGTTAATCAGTGTGTGGCGAGGCGTAACTTAAGTAGTTAGATTAGCTTAACGGGCACTGTCAGAGCTGGCAGTGCCAGGTCTCCCTAGCAGTGCCAACAGCTCTGGCAATGCCAGGTCCCCCTAGCAGTGCCAACAGCTCTGGCAGTGCCAGGTCCTTCTAGCAGTGCCAACAGCTCTGGCAGTGCCAGGTCCCCCTAGCAGTGCCAGGTCCCCCTAGCAGTGCCAGGTCCCCCTAGCAGTGCCAGGTCCTCCTAGCAGTGCCAACAGCTCTGGCAGTGCCAGGTCCCCCTAGCAGTGCCAGGTCCCCCTAGCAGTGCCAACAGCTCTGGCAGTGCCAGGTCCCCCTAGCAGTGCCAACAGCTCTGGCAGTGCCAGGTCCCCCTAGCAGTGCCACCAACACCCACAGCACAGTGACCTCACCCTCCCTACTGCCGACGCAGTATTAAGCGACTCTAGGGACAGGTTACATGGGATGACCTTCAGAGACTTATACCTAATGCAACCATTAAATCTGACAGACAGACAGGTGACAGACAGACAGATGAACCAACCTAAAGTGTGTTGAACAAGGCTGAAATATTTCTGGAGACATTAGAGTGCTATACCACACTAATCTTTAAGAACAGGAACGCGACGTCCAAACACTTCCTCTTGAAGACCTGGGATATTTAGTTCCCACCTCACTCTTCCGGGTTCCAGGGGTTCGAATCCCTTCAGAAACGACTAAATCATATATTTACGCTCGTGAGAACCTGCCTAAATATATGATTTATATGTACATATGTACGTAGGTTATTAAGGTCTATCAACCTCTGGAGGGTTATTAGGGTCTATCAATCTCTGGAGGGTTATTAAGGTCTATCAACCTCTGGAGGGTTATTAAGGTCTATCAATCTCTGGAGGGTTATTAAGGCCTATCAACCTCTGGAGGGTTATTAAGGTCTATCAACCTCTGGAGGGTTATTAAGGTCTATCAACCTCTGGAGGGTTATTAAGGTCTATCAACCTCTGGAGGGTTATTAAGGTCTATCAACCTCTGGAGGGTTATTAAGGTCTATCAACCTCTGGAGGGTTATTATTAAGGTCTATCAACCTCTGGAGGGTTATTAAGGTCTATCAACCTCTGGAGGGTTATTAAGGTCTATCAACCTCTGGAGGGTTATTAAGGATCTATCAACCTCTGGAGGGTTATTAAGGTCTATCAACCTCTGGAGGGTTATTAAGGTCTATCAACCTCTGGAGGGTTATTAAGGTCTATCAACCTCTGGAGGGTTATTAAGGTCTATCAACCTCTGGAGGGTTATTAAGGTCTATCAACCTCTGGAGGGTTATTAAGGCCTATCAACCTCTGGAGGGTTATTAAGGCCTATCAACCTCTGGAGGGTTATTAAGGTCTATCAACCTCTGGAGGGTTATTAAGGTCTATCAACCTCTGGAGGGTTATTAAGGCCTATCAACCTCTGGAGGGTTATTAAGGTCTATCAACCTCTGGAGGGTTATTAAGGTCTATCAACCTCTGGAGGGTTATTAAGGCCTATCAACCTCTGGAGGGTTATTAAGGTCTATCAACCTCTGGAGGGTTATTAAGGTCTATCAACCTCTGGAGGGTTATTAAGGCCTATCAACCTCTGGAGGGTTATTAAGGCCTATCAACCTCTGGAGGGTTATTAAGGTTTTTAACCTCTGGAGGGTTAATAAAACCTATCAACCTCCTTCGCAGGGTTATTAAGGTCTACCATCCTCTGCAAGGGTAAGGCCTGTCAACCTCTGGAAGGTTATTAAGGCCTATCTCTCACTGGAAGGTTATTAAGGCCTATCACCCTCTGGAGGGTTATTAAGGCCTATCAACCTCTGGAGGGTTATTAAGGTCCATCAACCTCTGGAGGATTATTAAAATCTATCAACCTCTGGAGGGTTATTAAGGTCTATCAACCTCTGGAGGGTTATTAAGGCCTATCAACCTCTGGAGGGTTATTAAGACCTATCAACCTCTGGAGGGTTATTAAGGTCTATCAACCTCTGGAGGGTTATTAAGGTCTATCAACCTCTGGAGGGTTATTAAGGTCTATCAACCTCTGGAGGGTTATTAAGGCCTATCAACCTCTGGAGGGTTATTAAGGCCTATCAACCTCTGGAGGGTTATTAAGACCAACCAACCTCTGGAGGGTTATTAAGACCTATCAACCTCTGGAGGGTTATTAAGACCTATCAACCTCTGGAGGGTTATTAAGGCCTATCAACCTCTGGAGGGTTATTAAGGTCTATCAACCTCTGGAGGGTTATTAAGACCTATCAACCTCTGGAGGGTTATTAAGACCTATCAACCTCTGGAGGGTTATTAAGACCTATCAACCTCTGGAGGGTTATTAAGACCTATCAACCTCTGGAGGGTTATTAATACCTATCAACCTCTGGAGGGTTATTAAGACCACCACAACAGTTTATTGACCAACTAGCAAGTACATTTCAGCCATGAACTCTGTCGATGACTGAAAAAAGTAGTTAGTGTTGTGTAAGGGTCACTGACGGCAAATGACTTCGTTACGGATTAATCCACAAAAATTACACTAATTTACTTTATTTCTTCTTGGAAAAAATTGGGACGGAGGGAGAAGTTTACCACTGTTATGTGCGGGTACCCACCATGACCGAGCTCAGTCCTGGAGGTCTGACAAATACTTTATGGCAAACATGACAGGAACATTTTTGTCAACACAGCCTCGCCCCACCCGCGGCGACCAGGACACAAATTCGGCCCAAACTAAAGCGCAAATAGTCCTTCCTCCTCGGCCGAGTAGAGGCCAATCGCCCTCCTCGGCCGAGTAGAGGCCAGTCGCCCTCCTCGGCCGAGTAGAGGCCAATCGCCCTCCTCGGCCGAGTAGAGGCCAATCGCCCTCCTCGGCCGAGTAGAGGCCAGTCGCCCTCCTCGGCCGAGCAGAGGCCAGCCGCCCACACGGCCGAGTAGAGGCCAATCGCCCTCCTCGGCCGAGTAGAGGCCAGTCGCCCTCCTCGGCCGAGTAGAGGCCAATCGCCCTCCTCGGCCGAGTAGAGGCCAGTCGCCCTCCTCGGCCGAGCAGAGGCCAGCCGCCCACACGGCCGAGTAGAGGCCAGTCGCCCTCCTCGGCCGAGCAGAGGCCAGCCGCCCACACGGCCGAGTAGAGGCCAGTCGCCCTCCTCGGCCGAGTAGAGGCCAGTCGCCCTCCTCGGCCGAGCAGAGGCCAGCCGACCACACGGCCGAGAGCCACCTGACAATCTGATCTCGTGATAGAACGTCGCATTTTGACGTATAGTCAACTTGTGGTCAATAATTGTCGTGTTAGGAAATGGTGGAATTGACAGCTTGTCCCGTTTTCTGTTTGGGGTCCTCTGGTAGGTTAGGATAAGGGCACTTTAGTACGATAGTTTCTCAACGTTAAGAAACCTTAGGTTACGCAAGCACTTACGAACCTGGGGCCAGATTCACGAAGCAGTTACGCAAGCACTTACGAACCTGGGGCCAGATTCACGAAAGCACTTACGAACCTGGGGCCAGATTCACGAAGCACTTACGCAAGCACTTACAAACCTGGGGCCAGATTCACGAAGCAGTTACGCAAGCACTTACGAACCTGGGGCCAGATTCACGAAGCAGTTACGCAAGCACTTACGAACCTGGGGCCAGATTCACGAAGCAGTTACGCAAGTACTTACGAACCTGTGCATCTTTTCTCAATCTTTGGCGGCTTTGTTTACAATTATTAAACAGTTAATGAGCCCCGAAGCACCAGGAGGCTGTTTATAACAATAACAACAGTTGATTGGCATGTTTTCATGCTTGTAAACTGTTTAATAAATGTAACCAAAGCCGTCAAAGATTGAGGAAAGATGTACACGTTCGTAAGTGCTTCCGTAACTGCTTCGTGAATCTGGTCCTAGGTTTGTATGTGCTTGCGTAACTGCTTCGTGAATCTGGCCCCAGGTTCGTTAGTGCTTGCGTAACTGCTTCGTGAATCTGGCCCCAGGTTCGTAAGTGCTTGCGTAACTGCTTCGTGAATCTGGCCCCAGGTTCGTAAGTGCTTGCGTAACTGCTTCGTGAATCTGGCCCCAGGTTCGTAAGTGCTTGCGTAACTGCTTCGTGAATCTGATTCCAGGTTCGTAAGTGCTTGCGTAACTGCTTCGTGAATCTGGACCCAGATTCGTAAGTGCTTGCGTAACGGCTTCGTGAATCTGGCCCCAGGTTCGTAAGTGCTTGCGTAACTGCTTCGTGAATCTGGCCCCAGGTTCGTAAGTGCTTGCGTAACGGCTTCGTGAATCTGGCCCCAGGTTCGTAAGTGCTTGCGTAACTGCTTCGTGAATCTGGCCCAGGTTCGTAAGTGCTTGCGTAACTGCTTCGTGAATCTGGCCCCAGGTTCGTAAGTGCTTGCGTAACGGCTTCGTGAATCTGGCCCCAGGTTCGTAAGTGCTTGCGTAACTGCTTCGTGAATCTGGCCCCAGGTTCGTAAGTGCTTGCGTAACTGCTTCGTGAATCTGGCCCCAGGTTCGTAAGTGCTTGCGTAACTGCTTCGTGAATCTGGCCCCCTGGTGGGCAGGTGTCCACTCACGGGCAAGCTAAACTAAGAGTGAACAAACTGGTGAATACACACCTGCAGTAAATCATTTTGACACACCTGCGAACGCCTCCCCCAAACCACTACCTTTAACATTAAGCGTTTTTCGATGAGAAGGAAAACTGCATAGGGCAGTGGACCGCTACATTTAGCGATCCAGAGCTACATTTAGCGATCCACCGCTACATTTAGCGATCCAGAGCTACATTTAGCGATCCAGAGCTACATTTAGCGATCCACTGCTACATTTAGCGATCCACCGCTACATTTAGCGATCCACCGCTACATTTAGCGATCCAGAGCTACATTTAGCGATCCAGAGCTACATTTAGCGATCCAACGCTACATTTAGCGATCCACCGCTACATTTAGCGATCCACCGTTACATTTAGCGATCCACTGCTACATTTAGTGATCCACCGGTACATTTAGCAATACACCGCTACATTTAGCGATCCACCGCTACATTTAGCGATCCACTGCTACATTTAGCGATCCACTGCTACATTTAGTGATCCACCGCTACATTTAGCGATCCACCGCTACATTTAGCGATCCAGCGCTAAAATGTCAACACATTTTTAACAATTTAAACCCGTCTTCACCCTGGAGTTAGGGGCTGGCCAGACAAGCGCTCTCAAAGGCACCTCACTGCCTCTAAATACAATTACAATAAATGTCAACAAATGTCTGTGTGCATTTATTTATAATTTTTTTTAATAAAACAATTTTAAGTTATTTGTGTGTTGAGGGGAAATCTATAACCCGTTTTCACAGCCCCGTCAAGGGGTCGAACCCCGTCTCCAGTGCCTCCGGTGTTGAACTGTCCTTTGTCTATCCTGTTGATTAACGAGTATTTTGTATGTCGTAATCATGTGATCACTACACCAACCCCGCTATATGGTCCCCAGCTACTACACCAACCCCGTTATGTGGTCCCTAGCAACTATACCAACCCCACTATATGGACCCCAGCAACTACACCAACCCCGCTATATGGTCCCCAGCAACTACACCAACCCCGCTATATGGTCCCCCAGCTACTACACCAACCCCGCTATATGGTCCCCAGCAACTATACCAACCCCTCTATATGGTCCCCAGCAACTACACCAACCCCGCTATATGGTCCCCCAGCTACTACACCAACCCCGCTATATGGTCCCCCAGCAACTATACCAACCCCTCTATATGGACCCCAGCAACTACACCAACCCCGCTATATGGTCCCCAGCAACTACACCAACCCCGCTATATGGTCCCCAGCAACTACACCAACCCCGCTATATGGTCCCCCAGCTACTACACCAACCCCGCTATACGGTCCCCCAGCAACTATACCAACCCCGCTATATGGCCCCCCAGCTACTACACCAACCCCGCTATATGGTCCCCCAGCAACTACACCAACCCCGCTATATGGACCCCAGCAACTACACCAACCCCGCTATATGGTCCCCCAGCTACTACACCAACCCCGCTATATGGACCCCAGCAACTACACCAACCCCGCTATATGGTCCCCCAGCTACTACACCAACCCTGCTATATGGACCCCAGCAACTACACCAACCCCGCTATATGGTCCCCCAGCTACTACACCAACTCCGCTATATGGACCCCAGCAACTATACCAACCCCGCTATATGGTCCCCAGCAACTACACCAACCCCGCTATATGGTCCCCAGCAACTACACCAACCCCGCTATATGGTCCCCCAGCAACTATACCAACCCCGCTATATGGTCCCCCAGCTACTACACCAACCCCGCTATATGGTCCCCCAGCAACTACACCAACCCCGCTATATGGTTCCCCAGCAACTACACCAACCCCGCTATATGGTCCCCCAGCAACTACACCAACCCCGCTATATGGTCCCCCAGCAACTACACCAACCCCGCTATATGGACCCCAGCAACATTCAACACCATCAACCACAGTGTCCATATATTGCTCACTCTGGTATTCCACTCCTCACAACAATGGTGTTACCCACACGCTTCCTACTTCACAAATTCTTCATCACAAACTCACAATATGCAAATAGCTGTCTCTCTCGCACGTGTACACACACACACACACACACACACACACACACACACACACACACACACACACACACACACACACACACACACACACACACACACACACACACACACACACACACACCCACACACATACACACACACACACACACACACACACACATACACCCACACACACACACACCCACACACACACCCACACACACACACACACACCCACACACACACACACACACACACACACACACACACACACACACACACACACACACACACACACACACACACACATTTCCGTGACAAATGCTGTGCACCCAGACGAAATCTCACCATAGATGCTATAAGAGGGAGAAGCTGCCCAATACGTCCCACTCTCTATGGCATATAATAGATCGCTGGTAACAGGAGACCTGCTAACAATTTAGAAGACGGCTAGTGGAGTCCCGATATACAAGAAGGAGTCCAGACAGCAGGTAGTGGACTACAGGCCAGTGTCCCTACCGTGCATATCTTGCAAGGTGATGGAAAAGATGGTGAGGAAACTTCTAGAACATCTAGAGAGAAGGAGCTTCTTAACACCTCACCATAATGGGTCCAGAGATATATCTTGAGGTTATCTTGAGATGATTTCGGGGCTTTAGTGTCCCCGCGGCCCGGTCCTCGACCAGGCCTCCACCCCCAGGAAGCAGCCCGTGACAGCTGACTAACACCCAGGTACCTATTTTACTGCTAGGTAACAGGGGCATAGAGTGAAAGAAACTCTGCCCATTGTTATGGCCAGAGATGGTTAACCTTGCCTCACAGGTTTAATAGAATGCCATGACAAGCCGACAAAATGATAAGGAAGATAAAGGAAGGTAGACTGCATCTTTTGGACTGCCAGAAAGCATTTGTTACAGTGCCCTGTAGGATACAGCACACTCAATCATTATTTACAAATTTTCTATACTGTTTTCCCGTATAACTGCAAGAATTTTTGCCGTTCTCAAAAGCGTATATTTTTTAATAATTTTCAAAACAATGTAACATAAAACGCAATTTTCCCAAATACAATTGTTGGTATATATTAAAATTTTGTTTACCTGTGACGTAAACAATTTAGTTAGGCCTAGATAAGTTGGGTTAGTTGCTTATGGGTTGTTACACTCTGGCCCTCACTATGGCCCTCTCATTATGGCCTCTCACTATGGCCCTCACTATGGCCCTCTCATTATGGCCTCTCATTATGGCCCTCACTATGGCCCTCTCATTATGGCCTCTCACTATGGCCCTCACTATGGCCCTCTCATTATGGCCCCTTACTATGGCCCCTTCACTATGGCCTCTCACTATGGCCCCTTCACTATGGCCCCTTCACTATGGCCTCTCACTATGGCCCCTTCACTATGGCCCCTTCACTATGGCCTCTCACTATGGCCCCTTCACTATGGCCCCTTCACTATGGCCTCTCACTATGGCCCCTTCACTATGGCCCCTTCACTATGGCCTCTTACTATGGCCCCTCATTATGGCCCTCATTATGGCCCTGGCCATATTGTTCACCAATTGTTGGTGCCAGTATCTCCCTTCTCACTTAGAGTGCCAGTGCCACCAGCTGCGGGTGCCAGTCTCCCGCTCCTATGAGGTCTACCCTGGTGTCA